GTCAAGAATTCAATGACTGCATGTTGTTTAAGTCGCACTGACCGTCTGCGCAAGGTTCCATACTTTACACACTTTAACAACACAACCATTCAATGCTAAGGCTTCCCACCAAAATGGAACTGTAGAGAGGAGTCTACTGAACAAGCCAATACCTGCCACATACCAGTACTGCCATCTGTTAAGGATTTACGAAGGTGGAGGCATTACTTTTCATTCAACCCTCATACAGTGATAAGACAGATAACAGTTAGAGGTATATTTTCTTGTCATTCAACTTCTTTAAAGGCTGTGCTCAGTTCCAGCCATGGGGGGGGGGGGGTGCTGTCTCTCCATCTCCATGCCAAACAGCTTTCTTTGTTTGCAAACTTTCCTTTGGAATGCTGTGCCTAAAACACCTCCCTACTTAATGTGGTTCCTATTGATCTACTCACATTGCTGGTTTTGATCCGCTAGGTGGGCGACGAAGCTGAGCTGAAGGTCAAGAGCTCACCCTGACCCAGCTTCGAACTGTCAACCTTTCGGTTGGCAAGATTTACTGCAGCTGCAGCTAAATCTTGCCAACCTGATGTACTAAAGTGTTCACACATGCCAGATACTACTTGGAGAAGTTACTTATTGGTCTACAATTCTCACAAGCTCCACAGACCATGATGGCTGGGGATTTTGGAAGTTATAGAACAGTCATCCCTCCACATTCAATGTGATTAGGGGCATAGGAGCCCATGAAAGTGGAAAAAAAGAAAACAAAAGAAAAGGCTGGGTTTTTTTTATAAATGTATTTATTTGGATTATTTGCTCTTAGAGAAGTGTGTTAGTGCAAAGAGACAATACAGACAAGCGTACAAACAAATAGACGAACATATAAACGAATACAATACTTCAACATTACAACCACGACATTTACCAATACCAACATATATTCCCCACAGTGAGTTTTAAAATACTTCCAGGATTTGCTGGTCAGGCGCCGGGGAGTAGCTGTACAGTACTAGAAAAAAACACCAATTCTTGGTCTTCTAGAAGAACTTTATGGTTGAATTCAGCTGGAAACTGATCATAGAATTGCACTGGAGGACCTAGAGATGCATAGAAAGGTGTTTTCGCTGGAAATCTGTAGGTCCTCCAGCATGCTAAGAGGTAATTGGCCATAGAATCACACTGGAGGACCTAAAGTTTGTGGGGGGAAAGGCTTTAATCACAACTGTGAATAATCAAATCCTCAAAGGCCAAAACCACAAATATGGAGGGATGACTGACATGCACAGCCCAAAAATTGCTTCTTTGGGCTCAGTGAGCCTGAAGAAGTGAAGAGAGCAGCCACCCCCTCCCCAAGTCTCCCCCCCCCCCAAGCCTCAAAACTAAGAGTGAACTTACTGGGCCACCATGATGCCTCTCTGCAGGTCTCCTGGAGTATACCAAAAATGTGCCAGGAAGCGGGGGGCACATTACTCCTCCCCCACCCCACCTCCTGGCATGTCATTGGCACTCTCTTGAATAGAGGCATAATTTTGACATTTACTCTTATTTTTATGGCTTGCGGGGTGGGTTCTTGGTGTCCCCATGCCCTCCCGGAAGTTACCAGAAAGACATGCAGACACCCAATGGGCAAAGACTGTTTTTTGCTTTGCTTTGCATTTTTGTATATGTGCCTTCAAGTTGCCTGTCAACTTATGGTGACCCCATGAATATCATAGGATTCAAGGAATTCAGGGGTGGTTTGCCAGTTCCATCCTCTGACATTTAGCCTACAGTACCTGGCATTTGTCTCCCACCCATGTACTAACCAGGGATGCTACTGCTAATCTTCCAAGATCGGATGAAATCTAGTGCCTTAAGTTATAGATGGAATTAATATTCTCCACATTTGAAGTAAGTTCTGTCCTATTCAATAGAGTTTACTCCCTAGGACAAAATATCAAAACTCCAGCCTCTGGATCTCACCAAATCCAGTAATAGCCAAAATCCTGGAGTAGCTCCTGAACTTGAAAAAATTACCTTTGGGAGCTATTTTTCATATACTCCCCCAGCCAGCATACTCCAAAGAGGTCCTATTTCCCTGGTCATTTTGTTGTACAGGATTAGCTCACACATGGAACAGCCTTATCGTTCATCAAGTTTTTGGTCTGGCTGGCTAGGTATTATCTACTCCCACAGGCAGCATCTTTTTAAGTCTTGCAACCTCTTTTATGGAAAGTGGCCTGGAGAAAAATCAAACCTAAATAGCAAACCATGTGCTCTGTTATTGTGCTATGTCCCATTCACCCTAAAACATCAACTGGTGTACACATTGCTTTGAAACAGTAAAGGTTATGAGGGCCTCATATTTTAGTTGACATTTAACACTGGAAAACAGACTTGCATTACCTAAGACCTGGATCTGAACCATTACAGAAGCAATTTTTGTTCTCTTTACTCTTTCTCCTTAATCCAGTGGATCTGGTTATAAATCCTTTTTGCTTAGCATTCTTTGAAGAGAGATTGAGTCCTAACAGAATGACGCTCTGGCATTATTACAAGGTTTCAACTTTGTTTTTCAGTTAAAGTCCAGACACAAAGAGTTCTGGCTAGACTTCCCTTCCACATGGTTTCTACCATAGCCAGTGTGAGTTACTTATATTGTCACCCCTGTATATCTACAGGTTCTGCGTTCACTGATTTAACTGTCCAAGGCTTGAAAATATTCAAACAAAAATGGTAAAACCAAGGTTTGCTTTTTGGATTTCATTTTTTAATATCTTCAAGCTGCAGATGGTGGAATCCATGCACACAGAATCTATGGATATGAAGGAACAACACTAATTCTCAGAAACTGCCACAAAAATTCTAGGAATTGTAGCTCAATCCCTTACTTTTCCGAGCTGCAATCCGGCTCCCTCCCTGTGCACAAATTCCTTGCCAGCTGCAGATGAATTAACACTCCACTTTGCAATATTTGATCTGGCTCCAAAACAATTGCTTTACAGACACTGTATCTCTTGTGCCAGATGGGATACATTTATTACATATTTTTGGACGAAGGAGGTATTTGTAATCATTAATTTTAAACTCATATATTATTATTTTAAGGAGTGGAAAGGTTCTTATTCAGCATTATCAGTAGGCAGAAATGTAAATCCCAGTCCAAAAAATAGTTACATCTAGATAAGAATGTAACTTCAGCTGCACGCATGGGTCAGGAGTACATGGCTTGTCTCACAGAGTAAATGGAAATAGAAATGTGATCTCCTGCTCACATCCTGTTGTTCAAATTGGCATTGGATCAAAGAGTCTTTACTTTGCACACATGATACCAGTGTTGGATCATACAATTAACTATTCTAATTAACTATTCTATCATACCAGAGCTGAGTATGATTAGCCTAAAGAAGAGAAGGCAGAGAGGAGACTTGATGGCCATGTATAAATATGTATGGGGAAGTCATAGGGAGGAGGGAGAAAGTTTGTTTTGTGCTGCCCTGGAGACTAAGACACGGAATAATGGCTTCAAACTGCAGGAACGGAGATTCCACCTGAACATTAGGAAAAACTTGCTAATGTTCAGATGGGAATGGTGAGAGCTGTTCAGCACTGGAACTCTCCGCCCTAGAGTGTTCTGGTGGCTCCTTCTTTGAAGGTTTTTAAGCAGAGACTGGATGGCCATCTGCCAGGGGTGCTTTGAATGTGATTTTCCTGCTTCTTGGTAGGGAGTTGGACTGGATGGCCTCAAGGTCTTTTCCAACTCTATGATTCATAATGTCACCTGAAGAGCAGTGCTCGTAACAAGGAGCACTATTTTTCTATCTGCCTGCAGCATTGTGGATAACTATTACTGAAAACAAAATACTGGGCCAAATGGTCCTGTCCAGCAAAGCTATAGTCCTGAAGTCAAAGTTAACAATAAATACATGTTGGTTTTAATACAAGCACAGTATCCAAAGTGGTTGTATAGTACAGGAGGAAGCTTTTGCTTATCAAGTCCAAAGCTAGCTTTAGAAGTGCCAGACATAGCCCAGAAGGTTCTGATATGTGCCACTCAAAGTGTAATCAAAAACTAATTTTGTGTATCTGAGTTTTACCATATGCACGTTCTTATGATGTGTCTGTCTAGGTTTTAGATTGTGCTGTTGGAAGCATCTCTATAAAGCAGCGAAAGCACTGCCAAACAGAGTATAAATAACAAGGAAAATTAAGTCCACTTGGTAACATTTAGAGAAATCATCCAAATGGAATGTTTTTTTAGCACTGATGCCTTGTTTATTACTACCCCGGTCTTAGGGTGGAAAAATCAAGCTCTGTGAGATACTGTGGCTGTCTGGTTGGTCTTCCGGAATTCCAGAAGGAGAGCTATGAAATATTCAAAACTTTTTTTTTCAGACTCATCTGGTGGAGTGTCTATTCAGAGAACAGCCATCTTGCTCCCTACTCCCATTCAATCCATTTTGTTTATTCTCAGGCCCATTGTGGGTGTGCCTATTAGGTCCCCCCCCCCAAAAAAAACACACACACACACATCGAAAACAGCAGGTGTCTGAAGCCTTTTTCTGGCCCACACAAAGTCATAGAGAGAGGCAATATCTTTTTCGCTCAGTCCAAAGCCACCGTCCTGGCACAGAGATGCTTAGCTTGCTACCCAACCCAGTAATCCACCAAAGACCTCTATTTACCACATAGATGTGCTCCTGATGAACAGCTAAATTGCTTTCTCAGAAACATACCAACAACACCTGGTATTCATTGGCAGGCTTCCATCCAAGTGCCAGTCTGGACTGAGTCTGCTTAGTTTTCAAGATCCGACAGGGTGTTTAGCTGCTACAAGGTGTGCATAGATATGATTAAATAAATAATTCAAGAAAATACCCTACTGTTTTTCAATGATAGATGATATGTGAAAGTATCATTTAAAACAGAAGAATTTTAATGTAATGGGATGTGGATTGAGAGCAGGTATGGTAAAATTTAGCCATGTCTTTGGGCATTCTCACAGTCATTTATCATTTCTTTTCCTGTTATCTCTTCTATAGCTTCATGCTCAGTGGCCTTTCGGGATGTCAGCTATGGGAAGATTTCTTTGCGTTTGTTTCCCTTTTATTCAGAAGGCATCCGTGGGAATCACCGTACTTAATCTCTGTGCTCTAAGTGTGGACAGGTAAAGAATTTGTTGGGTTTTTTTAACTTTTCTGTAGACATAGAGCCACAAAGAGTCTAGGAGGTGGTTTGTGCTTTCATAACTGGGTACTGTTCTGTTATCTGGGCGGAGGCCACCAGGGGGCACTACAGAGAGAAGGATTGTCCCATTTAATGGGGGGGGGGGAGAAGGGAAGTTGATAGAGGAAAACCATATTCCCATTTTCACTGGTTATGCCCCTTCCCCCCTTCCCATATCATAAGCAAGAGTTGTTTCCGTTATAGAGACATGGGTGGGGGGAATAACAGGAAAACAGGGTGAAATGATTTTCCTCCTTCAACCCACCCGCCACCCTCATAAAATTGACTATCCTTCTCTCCTGAGTGCCCCCTGTTGGCCTCCACAAATAATGGAACAGTACCCATAACTGGTCGGCCTCATAACTAGTTTTAGTCTAGTAACTTTTTCAGCATGCATATAGGAATGGCCACTTGTTTGAAGTGTCAAACTCTCACTCTCAGTTCAGTGGGTTCCCACGTTTTGAGACAGGAATTGTGTTATTTTGGTCTACTTTAGGCCAAATGTGCAGAACCGCTCCGTGACCAAAAGAGCCCCTAAACACTCCCAGACTCGCCTCCCCCCCCCATGCTTACATTTAAAAAAAAGTCTCTCTGAAAATGGTGACCAGAACTAAAGTGACTTATCTTCCATTTTGAGAAGAATTCTGAGAAAAACAAAGCATTTTAGTGCACCATGGAAGAGATACGGCAACATGCATGAAACCTTCCAGATACATCCCCACCAGATATCACACCACTGTTTAATCTTTGAATTTTCATCAGAATACCTTTCAAAATCATGATCAGAAGTGATGTGGTGTCAGTTCTCATCATTCTGAGAAGGACTCTGAGGGATAAGGAGCTCCCTCTGTCAACTCCAGCTCCCCCCCCCCCCCCCCCCGTGGGAACATGAGAGATGCCTCTCACAAGGATGGTAAAACATCAGAAACATCTGGGCGTCCCCTGGGCAACGTCCTTGCAGATGGCCAATTCTCTCACACCAGAAGCAACTTGCAGTTTATCAAGTCGCACCTGACATGAAACAACAAACAAACAAACAAACTAGAGAGAGCAGGGATAGAGAATTTGGCTCTTACGGAATACTGTGCACCGAAGACTGACTTGATAGCTATGGTATATACTTATGTATAAATCTAGAATTTTTGAGTCAAAAAATCCACCCGAAAAAAATGGGTTGACTTATTCATAGGTTAATGTAAGTATCAAAAAGGGCTCTTTGTGTTCTCTGAATAGAGTAGTAAAAGGCAAGAGCTTAGTCCATTCATGGAAGACCTAGAAGAAACACCCATTATCTTTCTTTTCTCTGCTGCAGTGCCACTTTTAGCTTTTTTATTGTTTTGGTGCTTCCCCTTAAAAGAGCACTGAGGCAATGCTGTTGCTTTCACCTCTCCATGGAGTGACCCTCAACTTATCCACAGGTTATATCAAAATCCACGATTTTGGACCCAAAGCCCAGCCACAAGTTTATGCGGTTGACTTATACATTTGGGCTCCAGAGGCATGTTTATCTTCCTAGGGTTTTTATTCACAGGACACTGTTTTTAAAATTGTTCTATGAATTCTAAAAGAGCACTGCATAGTTTCATTTTATTATTGATTTATTAAAAAATATTTGTAATGGTATACCAGGGAATAAGTTTCACCATATGTCAAATATCAATAATAGAATCAAAGAAAATGGTTCATGCTATGTGATATCAGTTCCCTTGCCTAGCTTGCAGTGCTAAGGAACTGTTGCCATAATATCTAACATGCATGAAACGAAAGCCATTTCAGGCAACCTTTCTGCATGTGCTTGTGGGACAATAATATTTAAATGGTCATCCAAATCTATGTATTATTATTATCGTAGTTTTGTAGACCACTAAGATTTGCATTTTGTTTAGAATCTTGAAATGTGTTGATGATATTACACCTTTAAAACTCTGACTTTTAATAAAGACAATAGAGAAGCTGTAAATTTAATGTTCTCTGTTTATTTTAGATACCGAGCAGTAGCTTCCTGGAGTCGAGTTCAGGGAATTGGAGTCCCTTTGATCACAGCTATTGAAATTGCTGTCATTTGGATTCTTTCTTTTATCCTGGCAATCCCAGAAGCTATCGTCTTTACTATGATAAAGTTTAATTACAAGGGAAAGGACCTTATTACCTGCATGATGATACCCAATACTGATTTTTCGAAAGTATGTATCAAATCTTTATATATCAAAGTAACAAATGTATTTTCGTTCCTCTCCCGAAATCCTTGTAGTTAATGATCTCAGATGGATTGGTGAATCGTTGGAGTGGAGACATTTCCTTTCTATTTGCTCCTACATTAGAAAATTAGCAACATGTTCTGGATTGTTATGCTCATCAGTCTAATAGGCAGTGATTTTAAGTACAAAAAATACCGATTTACATCAGATAGCAACCCTGTTAGTTGGGATGAGCAACCTGTGACCCAATAGCAGTGTATGGTCATTAGGGTAACTCCATGCGGTCTTTCACATCATTTCAAAAGCCCTTTGGAAGCAGGAGGTTCAGACCTCTGGAAACATAGATTTTCCCCTCCCCTAAAAATGTGGGAGAAAGAGGGAAAGATAGGGAGAGAGATGTGTGGGTGTACTTATTTATGTAGGCGATCCCTCGTAGCTCGAGGATGATTGTCTTCCAGATGTGGTGTCCTGGTGGTGGGTATGTAGGTGACTGTGGAGCCCTATTCTTGATCCGTATGTTCTCCTGCAGTGAGGACATCGGTTTCCAGACGGAAGGTGGTCCCAGTCAGGGTTGGCTTGACGTGCCTTTCTCTTGGCACATTTCTCCCTTTCATCCTCCATTCATGCTTCGTTGAATTCTGCAGCACTGCTGGTCACAGCTGACTTCCAGTTAGAGTGCTCAAGGACCAGGGCTTCCTAGTTCTCGGTGTCTATGCCGCAATTTATGATGTTGGCTTTGAGCCCATTTTTAAATCTCTTTTCCTGTCCACCAACATTCCGTTTTCTGTTCGTGAGTTCAGAGTAGAGTAACTGCTTTGGGAGACAGTGATCGGGCATTCGGACAATGTGGCCAGTCCAGCGGAGTTGATGACGGGGGAGCATTGCTTCAATTCTGGTGGTCTTTGTTTCTTCTAACACGCTGACATTTGTCCGCTTGTCTTCCCAAGAGATTTGCAGGATGTTTTGGAGGCAACGCTGATGGAATCGTGTGTGGGTGTATGTGGGTTTGTCACTATCATTGTGTGATCTCAGACCAATATGAACAGAATAAGGTTTTTATCAGAAAACAGATTCTCAATTCCTCTATTAAATTCTAGTGAAGTAAAATCAAATCTAAGATACAAACTGATGAATTTATGGGCTGACAAATGTCATATTTTGCTTTAGTAAATCATTGTGCCAGAAGAAGACCTATTGAATTTTATTGTGATTTCTTGATAACTTTTATGTAAACAGAAGACATTACTAACTGAAAATAGTTTTTTATTTTTGTAAAATAAATAAATACGTTTATAATACAGCAGACATATAATACCCAAAGTGCTTAATCTTTTTTTCCCCTTGTTATATCTACTGTCAATTTCACACACACACACACGTGTGTGTGTGTGTGTGTGTGTGTGTGTGTGTGTGTGTGTGTGTATGTATATATATATATATATATATATATATATATATATATATATATCACCACGCTCCCCTTCACCTGAGCCACTTCTTTTTATATTCTCTGTCCAGAATTTCATTTCCTCTTGTGGAGGTAACTTTCTATCCTTCTTTTTAAATCCTCTTTCAATAAATTTTCTCCAGACCTCATCAAAATCACTTTTTCCCATATGCCTCTTTTAATTTTTAACTTACATATCAACTTATTGTTTATTGCCAGTTTCCACAATTCCTTACACCACTCTTCAATTTGTATATTTTATTTATTACCCTTCTCCAGTTCCTTGCTACTGTTAATAGGTTAGATATTTCATCGTTTTCTTCTTTTTCAACTGTTTGTTATTATATAATGGTAACAAAGGAATACTAGGACTTCTTTCTTTTTTTATATTCATAATATCTTCTATCTCTCTGAATACCTTTCCCCAAAAATTACATAAATATTTACATTGCCAGCACATATGTATATATATTCCCACTACTTGGCATCATCTCCAGTAGGTTTTTTAAAATAATTTTTACTTATATTTTATAATAATAATAACTTTATTTTTATACCCCGCCACATCTCTCCAAGAGGACTTGGGGGGGGGGGGGGCTTACAAGTGACAAGCCCAAAAATACAGATTAAAATCACACAATAAAATAAATTAACAACAAACATTAAAAAAACATTACAATTATGGTACACATTTTAAAAACAGTTCCTTGGCTGAAAGATTAAATGCTTAGTGTGGTGGGATCAGGGAATATATCATCATTCCTGGATAGAGCCAGGGGGAAGTGCAAGATTTGCTCCAAATTCGATTAAAGTCAGAGCCAGAACTTGGGGGAGGTGGGGAGGAGTAACATCCATTGGCATTTACAGAACAGGATTCTAACTGGTGTTAGATAGGATTTCCATATCATTTATAATAGTTTACTTTAACACATATTGATAAGTTTTTAAAATGTATTTGTTCCCATAATTGTGACCACTCCATATCATAACCAACTGGAAATAGTTTACATTTCAGAGTCTCTTGAGTCATCTGCACAGGACAGTCTACTCTCATGTAGATCTGCCCAGGAGCAGCTTTAGCATGTACATTCTGAATCCGGGTCCACTGTCCAGATGAGCCAGAACTGCATTGGCTCTGTAAGAGTATAACCTTGTCCTCTGTGTTGCTGCCACCACTTACCACCAGTCACAGAGCTCACTGCAAGTACCATCACCTGTCATGTCTGCTGATATCCTCCATGATCAGAAAGAAGGAGGAGAAAAATTCTTCCCTTCTTCTTGCTGATTGCATGAATGTCCCATTCTGACATCTGCAGGTTGCAGGTGCTTGGACAGAGCTCCATGGCCAGCAGGGAATGGTGATGGTGACACAGGGACAAGACACCCTCTTTCACTGTGCTGATCATTACACAGAAAGGATGGTGTTGGCAGAAGTGTCTGTCTGGACAGAAGATCATTCCAAAACAGACTCAATCCAGTGTTCCAATTGCTGTAAATCCCCAGGATAGTTTTGTGCAAACTCTGAAGTATCCTGTAACTTTATCTAAAGCAAGACAAGGTCAGATTAAACACAGAAATTCTTGGATATGCACTGGAAGTCTCCATGCATGGTGGAAATAGACAGTGATGGATTCACAGTGAGTCTGGGTTTTCTGGTTAGTATAGAAAAGTCCCTAGTCAAGAAAACCTACCGGCATTGTCTTAAGCTTCATCCACACTTCATAAATACTAAATTATTCCTCAGCTTCTCAGAGCAATGTGTTACTTTGCTCATGCAATCTAAAAGTAAAAGAGGGAGAACTGTTTGAGAGGTGTTTTCAGCCATTTTTAGTATTTTGCTGCAATCATGTAAATTGATCTGTGATGAATTCGTTGAATTGCATAATTGTTTGGCTTTTTCCACCTCTGAGTTCCATTTTCCTTTATTTTCTTAAATCTTATGTTTCCTAGAGGCCCAAATAAATTGTCCTGAAGTGTCTCTGTTATTTAAAAATAGTTATAATGCATATAGTAAAAAAAAATAACTTCTTGACATTGAAAGAGAATAGGTGCACTCTATTTCTTTGTTTCCTTTTTTTCATGTCAGGAGTGACTTGAGAAACTGCAAGTCGCTTCTGGCGTGAGAGAATTTGCTGTCTGCAAGGACGTTGCCCAGGGGATGCCCGGATATTTTGTCATCCTTGTGGGAGGCTTCTCTCATGTCCCCGCATGGGGAGCTGTAGCTGACATAGGGAGCTCATCCATGCTCTCCCCAGATTCGAACCTCAGACCTGTCGGTCTTCAGTCCTACTGGCACAAGGATTTAACCCATTGCACCACCAGGGATTCCATGTTCATTAAACATATCCCATGTTCCATGTCCATGTTCATTAAACATATGCAATTTCCAAGTTCATTAAACATATTCTCTTTGCAGAATAATAAATGGTGGGGCTGGTTGAAATGTATAAAATGAATGCAAAATGGTTAAAGAGTTTTTCTGTCTACCATTCCTCTGCTAAAACTCATAGCCACAGGCTGATTTTGTTTAACAAAATACATCTTTGTTGTAAAGATATAGACAAGGACTTGAAATACACAATAAAAACTGCCCGTGCTTGAAAAGTATTCCAAGCAAATATGTGATTTGCAGAAAAGCCCCTCTCCCATGTAGTTTTGAGAATGTTTAAATACGAATTTGAGTAAATAAAAAGAAGAACAGGAAGCAGAAATTTTCAGAAAAATGAATGGAGGGTAAATAAAGGAAAGCCTTTCCAGATGTAAACCTGATACTTATAGCAAATGTTATATTAAATTATGCCAGGTAACATTATTAAAACTTCATTATTGTTTCCTTTCCTACTGTCTTTGAAACCTCTTAGATAGTTTTTTTTTTTCCAAATATTTGTACTAGGATGTAAATCCCAAAAGGCCAAGTGCTTTAGGGAACATGTGAAAAAGGCAAGCTTCCTGTAGAAAACGAGTTCCATGTGGAGTCGTACGGAAAACAAAAGGAAGCCTGTGTCACTTACATCAAAGTACAAAATTGGGTTGATGTGAAATCTGTGTAAGCTTTAACAACCATAATTAATCATTTGCAGACATCTTTAGCTTTTATGACTTAATAATGTCATGATGTCATGCTTTTAAATGCTAAATATGCTGAATATAGCCTTTTGATATTATTTCTAGTATTTTTTTTCCAGGCTTCAGCACAGTGATTTAGTGTTAACAGAGAATAGTAGGTAAAATCTATCTTGAAGTGGATATATTTTTGTTCTGTTCTTCTTTATACAAATGAGAAGTTCCTTTGTGGTAGACTATTTGCTGAATCTCTTCCCACTATCTTGCTTCTTTTCTTCAAATTATCATGTTCCAGGCCACATCAATGCTGCCATATAATTCAGTTTCTGAATCCAGATTATCTACTTTGGACTGGATTACAAGTCAGTGTAGACTCATATGGTCCAGTTCAAAGAGATAATCTGGATTCAGAAACAAGGTTATATAGCAGTGTAGATCCACTCCCAGAGAGTCTTGGGAACTTTAGCCTGGATGGCTTCTAAACACAAATAAATATGAAGGCATAGGCTGGATACTACAGAGCAATTCCTCCCCACTTCCCTTAACTAAATGTGACTTGATAATTGATTTGTTTTCTAATACTGTTTTAAATCTGTATGTATTTAGCTTACCTATATCTGATAGAAACAAACATGTCAAGGGATACATCTGCACTGTAGAATTAATGCAGTCTGACAGCACTTTAGCTGCCATGGGTCAATGCTATGGAGTTGTGGAAATTGTAGTTTGGTGAGGCACCCACACTCTTTGGCAGAGAAGGCTAAAAACCCTGTAAAACAACAACTCCCATGATTCTGTAGCACTGAACCGTGCTAGTTAAAGTGGTGGCAAATTGCCTTAATTCTACAGTGTACATATTAGAGTTGTGTGCAGCTCTGTTTTCCTTCATTACATCCTTTCTTTTGTTATGTTCGTTACCTTCGGGCGTATGTAACAGGAAGCCCCCTCCCAGTACAAAAATGAGTTTGACACAAATGCAAGTGGGAGCCAATGCCAGTTCTTCGTCTGCTTTTCATGAGTTCTTCTTGTCTTGGAAAGAGTGTGTTTGTAGCGTGCATGCCCAGAAAGCACACGCACCTGCTTGCAACCGAGCACCTCCTCTAGAGTAAGTAACAGAACTTTCCTCCTTGCTTTGAAAGAGTGCATGTGTGGCATGCAGGCCCAGAAAACATGTGTGCCTGCCTGCAGCCAAGCACCTCTTCTCTAGAGTAGAGAAACAGGTAAGAGAAGCCTCCTTAAAGCATATACCTGTCTGCGGCTGAGCACCTCTCCTCTAGAATAGAAAAATCCTAATGCAAAAATGATGGGAAGGGGACCTGGGACTCCCCCCTCCCCCCAAAAAAATGGGCTGATGGCTTTTTTGGCACCCCAAAGTGAAAACAGATATTTGCCCTCCAGATTTTAGGAGGCTCCAAAAACTAGATCAGGGCTCCCACCAAAAGCCGGGACATGAAATGGATCATGGTTTACTGTTGCAATCCAGAGCAGAGAACGAGGCCTAAGATAACTATCCACCACACTTGGCTGTGAAAAACAATCCTTTTTTATTGAAGAAAAATAGTTACAAAATAAAGGAAAAATGCAAGTCAAAAGCCACAGCAAAATCAGCAAACATGAATTTAAATGGACAAGGCAAAACCACAAGCCTCTCTGAGAAATACTTGAAGCTGTTAGCAATCCACTAACCGTACTTGATATCCTAGAAATCTTTCCATACTATGGCCAGGGAACCGGGAGAACTGCCAAGGTCTTCATCAATTCTGAAACGATGCCTGAACTGAGGGAATCAGCCTGGCGTATTGCAATTAAAACTCAAGAATCGGTTCCGTGAACCGCCCACTGTTTTGAGGCCAATGTTTTTAATTCTTGAATTCGGGAGGAACGACGCAAACTGAGTGTTTTATTTCTGTCTTCCCAGATTTGGCTCCTTCTGTTGTCATTACAGTTAACAGGTGCAGAAGGGAGGGAAAGTTCAAGGTCTCCCTCTGCAACATTCTCATTAACACTGGTACTTTCATTTTCCAAATCTAGAGAAGTTCCTTCCTCACTAATTTCAGGAACATTGGCATTTTCCAAACCTACAGCAGATTCTTCCTCACTAATTTCAGGAGCATTGACATCAGAAGGTACATTTCCACTAGCATCAGTAAATATACTTTCATTAGCATCAGGAGGAACAAACAGAGAATCAGGTTCAAGTTCAAACTCAGGCTGAACCCCAACATTTACTCAGATTGCACAAACCTAGTAGATATACCCAAGGAGAATCTATGGTTTTCCAATATGTGAGGTGTGAGGGATCCTCTACTTAAATGTCAAAATATTACTTGGAAAGTACTCAGTTGCATTGTTGCTGGCTTTTGGCTCACCTCCCTTCAGTAAAATTTTGATGATATTATTTGTGACGTATTTGACTTTGGAAAGGTTGTAATTCTTATCCTGTATTTTTTTAAAGGTTAAAAATTATATTTGGTTAGAACAAATTAATTTGTTGTAAAACTTTGATCTTCAAATTCTAAAATAATTTCTTCCACCAAAAGGAGTGCAAACAGAATTACAGCTGCCTTACTACTTTTAACAGAAGCAAAGAGACACCCATTTGCATCATGAGTGTTTGGTGTGGGAACCAAGTAGAGTAATATCTGTGAGGAATAAACAGACAATGTGGGAAAGATGGTTATAAAAAGGGGGGCTCTCTTTTATTGCATAACTCACTGAGTGACTAAGGAGCATGAGTTCATTTATTTGACATACATGTGTGTGCCTGTGGCTGGATGACTGTTTATGTTACTCATCTTTAGAGATAAGTAGCAAAAATGAGTTCATAGAGTTCATTAGTAGAAAAGTGCATCTTTTGGTAATTTTCTGAAGAAATCCATCTACAAGAACCAACATTTTTAAAATATTAATTGGGGGGAAACAGGGCTGTTTTAACATCTGCTTTTTCCTGTCACATAATACACATACCATTAAAAGAGCTACATTCCAGGTCAAAACAGTCCAGGCCACAAAGTCACTGGAAACTATAATCTGGACTCTGCATTTTTCAAGAGTAGTGCTTGTTTAAGTGGCCTCTTTCTGCCTGGTACACAAGCAAGGCAGTTAATCTTTCAACTGATAGCAGAGGACGATTATACTTACGAGAGACATTCTTAACCTGGACCTTTTGAAATCAAAGCCATTCACAAAATGCCTTAAAAGGTAGCAGACCAGCATCTTCACCAGGACACAAGATTTTAGCAAAACATGTATTACACTTGGGTTTTAAATGCAAAGATTACTAGCCCTGTAATCCGAACATTCAGACTGAGTCATTTCGGGCAACTCAGCTTTGAACTATCAACAAATAACAGCAACATCCATGAGAAAGGTCGCAATACCCAGACCAAAACAGTTTAAGAAATACCTTGAGAATTTTTTTAGACCAGATTAAATTGCAAACCTATTCTATTTCAAAAAGCCTTCTTGTTTTAAGATGCAAGGGAAAACAAAAACAAAAAAGAGAGAAAAGTGTGCAACTCAGAATGTCTAAAATGTTACTTTTGAACTATAGCTCCCAACCTGTAAAGGAACTGTAGTCCATTCTTTCCAGTGCCAACAATAGAAATGCAATTTATTTATTTGTTTGTTTGTTTGTTTATTTGCTGTATTTGTTTACCACCTTTCTCAGCCCGCAGTTTACTCAAGGCAGTTTACAAGGCAACAATTCGATGCTCACAATACCATAAATATAACTATAAAACCACAACAGAATCTATAAAAACATAAATCATTAGCATCTCCTTGTTAAAATATTGTCCAGTCCCATCATCTAGTCATTCCATTTTCCTATGTCAGTTACTCTGCATTTATTTTATTTCCTTCATTTCTACCCCGCCCTTCTCCCATAAGGGGATTCAGGGCAGCTTCACATAAGCATCAATGATGCTATCAACATATACATTCAATTAAAACAGTAAAACTCAAAATCAGTGGAAATTCTAGCACTAGTGGGAGTAATATTTCTATGCCCACAGAGGTTTCCATGAATACTGGGGGCACCTTCCACATGGGAATAATGAAATGAGTTTGTCTTTGATGCTGTTCTGCTGTTAGGATTCTGTGTCTTTTCTTTAACCTAACCTTTACTTTCTCAATTGGCCTTAAAGGGGATAGAATTATTATGTGACAACTATAAAGTTTTTTTTTTCATGTCAGGAGCAACTTGAAAAACTACAAGTCGCTTCTGGTGTGAGAGAATTGGCCATCTGCAAGGATGTTGCCCAGGGGATGCCCGAATGTTTTGATGTTTTGCCATTCTTGTGGGAGGCTTCTCTCATGTCCCCATATGGGGAGCTGGAGCTGACAGAGGGAGCTCATCCGAACTTTTCCCAGATTCGAACCTCCAACCTGTCAGTCTTCAGTCCTGCCAGCACAAGGGTTTAATCCATTGTGCTACCAAGAATTCTGGGAGCTTTAATTCCAGGCAACGGATCTATGATGCCATGAGAGGGCAACTGCAAGGGGCAGGGTTAGATCCACACTAGATTCTCTGCCCCAGGTAGTAAAGTAACTGGACTCAGTGTTACTTGAATACGATGCACTTTGATTTGACTGGTAGGCATTATTTGCTGGTGTGTCTTGGATGGTAAACTACAGTATTTATTCATCTTTACAGTGATGGAGTCAAATATCTCAACGCTAATCTGATTAATTTTAATTTTGGCTAAATTGCAACCTGGCTATTTCCATCTAGACTCTTGCCTTGAAATTTCTCTGTTGGAGAATGGCAAATTTTAAGTTAGCAGCAGAGTTCCTGGGAGACTGAAATGTTCAATGGGCTTCAATGTGTCACCATTTTCTGTTATCAGATTTGTGTCTGCTTAGTCTTGGAGTTTGACATACCTGTCCTGTGTAAAATACAAGACGGCAGACTAAATAGTACTACATTTCATATTAATTTGTCACATTTTGTCTTGCTACAGTTTTATATCAAAGTAAAGGACTGGTGGCTCTTTGGCTTCTATTTTATTATGCCGCTTGTGTGCACCGCATTCTTTTACACCCTGATGACCTGTGAAATGTTAAACAGGAGAAAGAGTAATTTGAGGATAGCTCTCAGTGAACATCTTAAGCAGGTAAGGAAGATGCCATTTCAGTGTGTATTTCCCTGTCTTGTCTACAGAAGTTTTTACTGCAGGCTTTAATAAAATGCACTCCAAAAATAGAAACCATGACTAAATGTGAGTTTTGACCCAAAGGTATTCTGGCAAGCTCGGAGCCATAAGGGTAGTTTAAAGTGGAAGGAGATAATGCAGACAAAGTGTTTTCGAGACTAGACAGTGTTATTTCCTTTTCAAAACAAATGTGACAGTTTTGCTCGGTCACTCTCTAACCTTTCTGAATTCCTTGAACTACAGCTCGAAGGATGTACCAATGATTTATGGTTGCTTTTTTATTCTCAGTATGCTATGCTTTAGAGTTCTTTTCTTCCTAAGCCAGATCCAAACAAGTATGTATTTCATCCTGTAATAGTGGAAATGATTAAAACCATTATGAACATTTTATAACTGCTATATGAAAAATGTTTTGATAATAGGTGCTTGATCAGGAATTTAGCTTTCAGCTTCACTCTGTCAGATTTAGTACAGGTAGGAGACCTACCGGAATTGAGAGTGGTAATTTCAGTCCTGAAAATTCATGTACATCAGATGATGATGATTTACATTTAAATTTCACCTATACTTCAGTAAATGCACAGTGGTGTCAATGGCTCTTTTCCTCACCACTTTTATCCTCACAATAGCCTTGTAAAGTTGGTCAGAGAATGCAAGAGAACAAAAATGAGTGAGAGAGGCCATAATCACACAATTACATGGTTTTAGTGGGGATTGGTCCATGGATCTCCCAATTTCCAGTCCAACATGCTACCTGCTGTACAAGACTGGCCATAAACTATTCTGAAACAGTGTGGAACAGTTGATGGGAAATTGTTGTGACAGCTTTCCTAATAATGAAAAATTCCCAATGGATTTGTTATCTTTCCTTGCAACAATCAGTAACCAACTCCAGGTCTAATATTTGTGCTTTCTAAGGACGCTTCCACACAGGCCAGAAATGCACTCCAAAGCTGGTTTTTAAAACCCATTTTGGCGTGCATTTCTGTCCCCACAACCCACCCAAAACCTGGACTTTCCCAGGGAGGGTGGTTACATGCCATCCCGATTACTATCAAGATGGCATACAGCCTCCCCGAAATTCTCCCCAAACAATGCTTAAAAGTAAAGAAAATGTACCTGGCCACCTTGCGTGATGAAATGACAAGGAAGAAAATCGTCATCCCATCTCCTTGGTCTCCTGGTGCATCATTTCCTTGTGCTAGGAGGATGCAAGGAGGACCTTACAGGTGGTCAGGTAAATTTTGTTTACTTTTAAAGGTTGTTTGGGGGGTAGAGAGGAGGGGTTGGATGCCATTCCAGACCTTTGGGCTCCATGAGCCCCCAGTAAAAACCCAGACAGTTCCCGGGATATAGGCCTGTTTGGATGGGCCCTAAAACTGTTTCCTTTATAACCGACAGCTTTATGCTTGGTTTGGCCTACACTCACACATTCTTATTTGTCTTTTCATATTCCAGCGACGAGAAGTTGCAAAGACAGTTTTCTGTTTAGTTCTGATTTTTACCCTTTGCTGGATTCCTCTCCATTTGAGCCGGATTTTGAAGTTAATGTTGTATGATGAAAAGGACCCTAACAGATGTGAATTACTCAGGTATATTTTGAATTTAGTACTTAATTCAATTGTATTTGGAAAATGAAGGATGAATGGAAAGAAGCAAGTTATGGATAGAGGGGTGAAAAGGAACATACGAAGTAGAGACACATGCTAAACATTGACAGTACATATTTAAAATCTTTTCCTGATGATACTGTAGACTATTTTCTCAATTCTATAATCTATCAACATTATGCCTTCAATTCTGCACATCAATTTCTGTTTATTTTTACTTTCGGGTTGCTTCTAGTTTAGCAGTTGAAACAAATTTTCTCTAGAGCAGGGTTTCTCAAACTGTGCTCCACAGAGCCCTGGGGGTTCAGTGGGTGATACTGAGAGGCTCCACTGCACTATGCTGCTTCTCACCGCCTCCTCTTTCCTCCTCCTGAGAAATGCAGGGAAGTTTTGAGCTGCCAGAGACAGCAGCGTTCTCCCACAGATCCTTTCTTCCTCGCCTCTCTTGCTGCCCAGACTCTTTTTTTTACCCCCCCCCCCAGACCCTCCCCCAACCCCTTCTTTCTTTGCTTCCCAACATCTATTTCCCTCCCATCACTCAGGGAGCGCATTGCTTGGGTTTTTCCTGCATAAAAGAAGGGGCCTGGATTGGATGGCCTCTGGTGTTTCTGCTGCTGCTGTTGTTATGTGGTTGTTATTGTTACTACAAAGGTCAGATGGCCATCTATTGGGGGTACTTTGATTGTTTTTTTTTCCTGCATAGCAGAAGGGGTTTGGACTGGATGTCCTCTGGAGCTTCTGCTATCATCATCAATATTATTATTATCATCATCACCATCATCATTGCAATTCTGAATAGCCATCTGTTGTTGGTGCTTTGATTGTGCTTTTCCTGCATGACAGAAGGGAGTTGGACTGGATGGCCCTAGGGGCCTTCCACTGAAATATTGTTAAGTTTATATTGGTTAAAATTGTTCTTCATTTTAAATATTGTGTTGTTCTTTCTTTTTCCTTTTCCTTTTTCTACTGTGTGAATTACACACACACACACACATACATTATATATAAAATAATATAATTAATATAATATAATATAAAAACATTTATTGGAGCTCCACAATAAACTTTTGCTTCAAAAAGAGCTTTATGGCTGAAAAAGTTTGACAACCTCTGCTCTAGAGTATGGATGTAATAAAGAAACATCACATTACTTTTAATTAATTTTTTCTTCAATAACGATGAGATAGTGAAGTAATTATTCTAGTTAACAAGGTGTAATATTCCTCCTTCTGCGGGGTAATTGTAAGTTAAGTATTAACATGCTTGCGAGTTGGGGTGGGTGGGAATCTTGTTTCAGTTTGTTTTGATAATAGGTTACTTAAATAAGCAAATTTCCTTCTATTAAGAGGAAGAAAAACTTGAGGCCTAAAAAAATAATGTAGAAGAAACTGAACAGATTCATTCACCCAGGCCATTAGATACTTGAACTTTTATTTTTATTTATTCAGTTTATACAAGGGCCATCTTACGGTTGCCATAACTTAGAAACATCTTGAAGGCACACAATAACAACTTCAGTTGTTTGTATAAACATGCCTAAACTAACTGAAAGTTTGTCTCATTTACTTTCATTACTTTTTGTTTGTTCATCCCTATTCAAAACCACAGTTCAAGCAATCAGTTATTAATATAAGAGCAAGTTTAACTTTGTGTCCAACAATCTCTCTCTGGTTGCTATTTTTCTCATGGACCCTGACATCTTCTGCTTTTATGGGAACTGGGCGGGGGGGGGGGGTTAATTATTCAGACATGGTAGTGATTCTATTGTCAATGGGCTGTGAATCTTACTGCAGACATTCAAGGAACTGCAGCTTTTGAAAGGTAGGCTTCAGTACCMAAGACATCTCTTTTAAAGATCAGACAAAAATCCAGAGTGGATTAATTCTTCCACTGGCACTAGCACATAAAGCAGAATGTGAACAGAGGTTCCCAAAGTTTGCACTTGCCTAGGATGTTGGTAGGCTGGAATATCCCTACTACTTCATTTTTACCTGAGGGGACATAGGTGAATGTTGGATACAACTGAAGTTTTAATATTCTGCAGAATCAATTACTCTGCTATGCAGACAATCAAAAAGCAATTTCCCAAAGGAACAGGTGGCTGAGTAATATATTTCCAATATGAAAAGGATAACAATTGTTTTTCTTTTCCCTCTTTCAACTTCTAGCTTTTTGTTGACATTGGATTATATTGGCTTGAATCTAGCTACTATAAATTCCTGCATAAACCCAATAGCACTCTATTTAGTGAGCAAGAAGTTCAAAAACTGCTTCCAGGTAAGCACTTTGTTGTTTTAAACAGGACAAATAAATGTACAGGACTGTTTATGGACAACGGCTATGTCTTTGTGTGATATGTGAGTTTATGTACTGTGTTTAATAATGTTTAATGTTTTATCAGGGTTTTTTTATGTTTTATATTGGTTTTTTATCAATGGCATTGAATTGTTGCAAACACTGTGAAACATCCTGAGTCCCCTTTGAGGTTGAGAAGGGCGGGATACAAAAACTACAAATAAAAATACCACAAATAAAAATACCGCAAATACAGCATTATTTGAAGGAACAATAATATTTTTCTCACCTATTTGTCATGTACTTTGCAGTGCCAATATGATGACTGTCAAATCATAAAATGTGCAATGAAGTAGACAGTTAACATTAGCCTAAACTTGTGTTCTGGTAAAACCATGTGAATTCCTGAAAGTTGGGTAGGATGCAGTGCCATAGATAAGTGTTTCTCAAGTTTTCTGATGTGAGAGATTTTTTTTCCCAATGTATCGCAGCCCTTGGTGAATCAAAATGCACAAAATACATCATGTAAACTGGCCAATCAAAGAGTGGTCACTGCCTAAATTGACATTCCTCCAAATCAGTGGTTCTCAACCTGTGGTCCATGGACCATCAGTGGTCTGCAAGAACTAAAATATGGTCCACGGCCTCACTGTTATGACACCATTGCAATGAGAGTTACTGGTCTCGTGCAACCCTCTTATAGTGCCGTGGATTATTAAATATGGTTTTCTGTAAGTGAGCAGATGGCAACTACTGGATGTCATATTTCTGTATCAGAAACTAGAGCTGATGTGGTCTATCCAATACAGTTTTCTCAATCAGCACCCAATATCACCAAACCAAATCTAAAGTTGACCAAAAACTGATTTGTAACCCTTTTGGTACTAATGTTGGAAAGTGGTCTCTGATTCTAGTGGTCCCTGGTCAAAAAAAGATTGGAAACCACTGCTTGAAATAAACACAAGAGCAACAACATCTAATACAAAATGGTACTACTCCTTTGTGTATTTTGGATTGTATTTTATTTTTCTGTAGGGGCAATACAGTGTGTTATTTAATGCTATGCATTTTGCAGAGTTTAATTCTGATTATTTTGATCTTGAAAATTTTCAAACCAACAATGTAGGCCGTAGATTTCTTCATATCACTATCTTTGAAATATATGGTTTTTCACAGAGGGAAAAATTCCAGTCTTTCTTTCTTTCTTTCTTTCTTTCTTTCTTTTCTTTTTTTTTTTTTTTTGTAAAATGCCAAACAGGTGGAGACTCTAGAGAGCTTGCATTGTATTATCCAAACTGTGCCCAGTATAACCATTTGGCCTTTGGCTGCTTCTCTTGCCATTTAGTCCACTTAACTTACTTGCTTGACTCCATCTGCTTTTGGATTCCATAATAAAGAAGATAATCCTCTTCTCATCAATGGCTTATTTCTGTTCCATTTAGCCAATGTCATGTTTGTCTTGGGAGATCTCTTTAGTTAGTTAGTAAAAGAGAAATTACATCACAATGCCATCATATTGGTGTTTGTGATAGCAAACTTTGTGTTATGATCAGTAACTAGCTCTCAACAGGAGCTGTGTTTTCATCTGAGAAAGACTTTCAGTTCATTTTGAATAAGCATTTAACAAAATGTGCATATGTCCTTGTACTCAGGATAAAAAAGTGAAAATGTGTTAATTATGGAGAAAGTTAAACAGGCATGTTTGTACAGGTCTTATGAGTGATTAACTCTGAAGGAAATCTGCTTTCAAATTGCTGTGTATTCAACCATGTTAGTGCTGTATTAATGTTATCAGCGCTGGCTCTTTTACCTCAGAAGCTTTGTCTTTAAGATCCAGGTGGCAAGCAAATACAATATCATCCTCGTCATGCTAGGAACAGATTGACATATTGAATTGGCCTGGAGCAGATTAGAGAAAATTTAGTTTCTGTTTGTAGATTTTACCAACTTTAGCCAAATGCTTTATATTTGAGATAAAATGTGAGGCATTTTTAAAAAACAAAACAAAACAAACAAACAGAAGAGTAAATGAAACAGATTTACTATTAAGGAAATAGTTTTATTTATTTCACTTTCACATAAAAGAACAACAAAAATAAAAAGGTTTCCTCTCATGGGTAAGATTTTAAGAGTTTTTGCACATTTTCCCATGATTTTTTAAAAAATATACATGAAAACTTATTTCAAAAAATTACAGAAGGGGGCTTTCTATACAATTCATTTTTTTATTTTTTTGTAAATAGAACCATTGTCTTTGGCACAAAATTCAGAGCTTTTTTTCCTTCCTAAAAGCTGTTTTTGTAATAGAAAAAAGAAAGCTCAAATTAAGTACATCTATTTGCACCTTACTCTGGTAACCAGCTGTTTTCCATTTCTCCTCCAACAATTTTAGCTTAATTTTAAAGATTTTAAATGATATTTTAAGGATTTAATACATTAGTAATTATGCGGATTATGTTATGTCTTGTTCATTTATGTTGATTTATAATTTATTGAGTAATTCTTGATTTGTTTATTGATTTGCTTATATGTTACTGTCAGCATTGAATATTTGCCATTGTGTATTTTGTTGTGAGCTGCCCTGATTCACTTTGGGGAGATAGGGCAGGCTATAAATAAAGTTTCATTTCATCATTCATTTCATTTCATAGTTTGCTTGCTTCAAATTTTGGAGCCATGCTGTAGATTTGGAAGCTGCAACTGTGATTTTAGTTCCCATAAAGCGACCCAGACCAAGGTTTAACACTGGCTCAGCATGTGGTTGGTACTGTTTAAAATTTTTCACATGAGACAACCCTTCACAAAAAGAATGAATGAATACTAATATTTGGCACTCTTTCTCTTGTCAGTCATGCCTCTGGTGTATCTGCTACCCGAACGGAAGCCAAACATCATCTGTTCCTATGAATGGAACTAGCATCCAGGGGAAAAACAATGAACTCAACAATCACAACACAGAGCGAAGCATCCACAAGGACAGCTTAAACTGAGAATTGACAGAAATTGCACTTCAGCATTTGTGAAAGGACAGGAAGCATGAAGGTTATCTAATATTCAGTGAACCTCTGCGTTTTGGAAGTTCTGTGCCTTAGCACTTAATTCCAAATATCAAATTGACTGGGTATACATACATGAAGCTTCCAAAGATTTCCACATGACGGCATGGAAGTTTTCTTTTGTTACTACAATTTTTTTTCTGCCAAAAGCAAGAGAAACCTACAAAGGACACAGCAGAGTTTGCAGACTCCAGATTCTCTGCTCAGTGTATGCTGTTTACATTGTCGTGTCTTTAAAACAGTAATGCCTAAGTCAATTTGAATCCTATTGAAGTCTTCCTTAAGAGGGTGAAAAAACAGAATCTATATCTTCTTTATATTGTCATTCCTTTGACACAGTTAAGAACATGTTCAGCATGAAATGTTGTTTGTCTCTGCGTGTACACACACACACCAGACTTCACAAATGAGAAACTGGATGCTTCCCGACAGAGTGCTCCTACTGATACCAGTCAAAACACTCTTCCTTCTTTTATTCCATAATTGGACTAAGTTGCAATAATTAAATGTTCTTGCCCTCTCTTTCCCACCCTTAAGGCTTCTTGAACACCCAAAGATCATCCCTGGGAAGCAGTTGTTTGGGTATGATGGAGAACTGCAGCAGGAGAGAGATTATCTCCCTCCAGGTTCCACCAATAGAAGGTTGATCAGCAGATACATTCTTCCATTGGTTTGTGTGTTTTAATAAAGTGAAAAGATAGACCAAATAGAAGAAAAACAAAATCTCTAGATCCTAATTTGACCTCTTATATAATTTGACTGCACGACGGAAGATGTGTCTGGAAGCACCCAATAACTGTCGTTTGTGTTATTTTATTATTTGTCATTTTTTTTTCTATCCACTTATTTAAAGATACAGGCCAGAAATTGCAAGAATATAAGGTACATGGAATATAAGGTGATTTCCCAATGGTACGTTAGTGTAATACTTATAAAGAATTAAAGCAATTGTGTGTGTATATAGGCCTTCAAGTCACTGTCAATTTAAGGATGACATCTTGAAATTTTATAGGGTTTTCATAGTCCAGTGTTTCTCAACCTGGGGGGAGGGACCCCTGGGGGGAGGGTCGTGAGGGGGTGTAAGCAGGGTTGCCAAAGACCATCAGAAAACATAGTATTTTCTGATGGTCATGGGGGTTCTTTGTGGGAAGTTTGACCCAATTCTATCGTAGGTGGGGTTCAGAATGCTCTTTGATTGGAGGTGAACTATAAATCCCAGCCACTACAACTCCCAAATGTCAACCTTCTTCAAACTCCACCAGTATTCACATTTGGGCGTATTGACTATTCGTGCCAAGTTTGGTCCAGATCCATCATTGTTTGAGTCCATAGTTCTCTCTGGATGTAGGTGAAGTACAACTCCTAAAGTCAAGGTCAGTGCCCACCAAACCCTTTCAGTATTTTCTGTTGATCATGGGAGTTCTGTGCACCAAGTTTGGTTCAATTCCATCATTGGTGGAGTTCAGGATGCTCTTTGATGGTAGGTGAACTATCAGTCCCAGCAACTAAAACTCCCAAATGACAACATCAATCCCCCCCCCCCCCCCCCCCCCCCCCCCCCCGCTGCCCTCTGAAGCCCACCAGTATTCAAATTTGGGTGTATCAGTTATTTGTGCCAAATTTGGTCCAGTGAATGAAAATACAACCTGCATATCATATTTTTACGTTACAATGCACAACAGTACCAAAATTACAGTTATGAAGTAGCAATGAAAATAATGTTATAGTTGGGGGTCACCACAACACGAGGAACTGTATTGAGGGGTCGCGGCATTAGGAAGGTTGAAAACACTGTCATAGTCAATTACTACTCAGAGGTGGTGTTGCCAGGTCCTTCTTCAGAAATATAGCCTGCAGCAGCTGATATTCAGTGGTGTTCTCTCATCCAAGTACTATCCTGGGCTGAGCCTGCTTAGTTTCCAATATCATACAGGAACTGGTGCTTTATATTTGTATCAGTCAACCTAAATTTGATCCTATGTGAAAGGACATCCTTTCATATTTGTTTAGCAATGTTGTTCTGTCGTTCTTTGTTCTTACTAGACTATAAACATAATTCTTCTGACAGAATCTGCTGTAGCTGCAAACTGAAATAGTCATACAACAATATGAATGGATCAGATAGCACGTTGTTATCAGAAATGTTTGAAGAAGCTTGTCATTTGTGAAATCTATAAATTATATTCCATAAAAGTACCTTTGCAGTAACATGATGGTATATCCTGCATTTTGGTTGTATTTCAGGAACCATAAATTTAGCATGCCATCTACTGGGAATTATTTTCTAATAAAATTACAAAGTACTTGAGATAAAGATTGGAGGTGCTAAAATGAACCAAAGAACTAAATACTTTGGTTTTTACTTGTAATTCTGGGCATTTATGGGAATTATTAATTATCAAAGTTGAAACAAAGATAGAATCATGAAAAAAGACTGGCTCTGATCAAGCTGCAGTTGTGAGTAATTGAAAAGAAATGACCGCTGGGATGAATTCACATCAATATATGTGTCAGAAGCTTAAGAGTTCATCTAAACATGGCAAAACTCCATGATTAGGATCTGTATTATCTTATAGACTTCAGAGTAGCTAGGGGAGGGAGAACCAAGCAGAACCATGATGCTAGAAGAAGGTACAGTACTTAATATTTTTGCTCCAGACTCAATTAATTCTGTCTACAAAAGATGGCCTTTAACAATTTGGAAACCATTTGGTGCAAACTGTGACTGCCAAGGGAAAAAGCAACATTATTTGCCAGGAGTTAATTTCAGAGCTCAGTTTCAAGTCCTGGAAATGACCTTTAAAGCTGTAGATTGAGGGTAGGGATCCTTTTTTTGGTCTGCAATATAATCATGTTCCCAAGTTGATCTGCTTAGTAAATACCACATAGAAGACTTTACTGAAGTAGAATTAAAACAGTATAACATCCTCCCCAGGGAAATCTATCAGGCCTCTTTTTTTAAAAAAAAATCCCAAACAAAACGCTTTTAAGTGTGATTTGAAAACATCTTTCACAAAAGATAGATGGTCGTCCGATTCTTATTTGTGTACATTGACTTGTTTGGTTGTTTTAAACTGTACTTTTTAACATGTGAATTTTACTATTGATTTTAATGCTTCTGCTGCTTTTACTGTACTTATAAGTTGCCTTGTTTAAAAATAAAATAAAAGACGGAGTATCAATATACAGATAAATACATATAAATAAAGTCTCACATGTTTTCTTGTATATACATTTCTTTTTGCAGTTGCTCTTTATTCCTTTTATGCTCTTCACTGAAGTTGAAAAAATGGTTTCAAGATAGCTAGTTTGGACCAAGAAAACAACACAGCAGAAAGGGTTAACCCTTTTGTTAGACATCCCAACCCTATTACTATATGGCACACTTTTGAAAAGTGGAAGGCTCTGGTCACAAATCTGCCATATCCAGAGACTGGATGACCTCATTTTTAGACTACAGCAAGCTAATACCACAGCCAAAATAACTGCTTGTCATGCTGGTTGAGAGACTGTGTGAGCTGTAGTCATACAAAGGAACCTTATAATGTTCTGCCTATACCTCATTTAGTTATGTCCCTCTTTGCTTGGTTTTTCTGTTTTCAGTTGTCCAACATCTGTTGTATTATCACTTCTTGTCCTCTTATTATTATTATTATTATTATTAATAATAATAATAATAATAATAATAATAATAATAAATCCACTACTCATTACATGCGTGTAGTGATGTCAGCAGACTTTACCTGCCCAGAAAATCAGGAGGCAGAGGGCTTCTGCAAGTGAAACAAATGGTAGAAGAAGAGAAACATGCACTGACAGATTATGTGAAAGGCAGTCAAGAACCAATATTGAGGGAAGTCAATAGTAGTAAACTGCTTAAAGTGCAAAAGAAAAAGAGTGAATACCGTAAAAACACAATCCAGAGCAGAAGAGAAAACTGGTGAAAGAAGGCTCTCCATGGACAGTTCCTGGGAAAAATTGACAAATTGACAAAGAAAAAACATGGCTGTGGCTCACAAATGGATCTCTGAAAAAGGAGACGGAGGGCCTGATTCTGGCAGCCCAAGAACAAGCCATTCGAACCAATTCCATCAAAACCAGAATTGAAAAGTTGACAACCGATCCCAAATGTAGACTCTGCAAGGAAGCAGATGAAACAATAGTTCACATCCTCAGCTGCTGCAAGAAGATCGCACAGACAGACTATAAGCAGAGGCATAACACCATTGCTCAGATGATTCATTGGAACTTGTGCCATAAGTACCATCTGCCTGTGACAAATAACTCGTGGGATCACAAGCCGGAAAAAGTTACAGAGGATTTAAAATCAAACTGCAAAGACTCTGGCATAAGCCAGTCAAGGTGGTCCCAGTGGTGATCGGCACACTGGATACAGTGCCTAAAGACCTTGGCCTACATTTAACACAATCTGCGCTGACAAAATTACCATCTGCCAGCTGCAGAAGGCCACCTTACTGGGATGTGCATGCATTTTTTTGCCGATACATTACACAGTCCTAGACACTTGGGAAGTGTCCGACGTGTGATCCAATTCAACAGCCAGCAGAGTGTCTACTGTGGACTCATCTTGTTGTGTTTCAAATATGTATTTATTTATTTATTTATTTATTTATTTATTTATTTATTTACTGTATTTGTATACTGCCTTTCTCAGTCAATCGGCGACTCAAGGCGGTTTCCAACAAATCAGTACACATAAAATCATAATACAGATTAAAATGTTAAAACAGTATAAAACACAACAAGAGCAATAAAAACCACATCATTAGGATCTCCTTATTATCAGGAATTGTCCAGTTCCATTGTCAAGCCATTCAATTTCCTATAATAGCTACTCTGCATTTGTAAACGCTTGCTCAAACAACCATTTTTAAAATTGCCTCCAAAACGTTAAGAGGGGGGGAGCCAATCTGATCTCCATAGGGAGGGTGTTCCATAGCCAAGGGGCCACCACTGAAAAGGCCCTGTCTCTCGTCCCCGCCAGATGTACTTGTGACAAAGGTGGGACCAATAGCAGGGCCTCCCCAGATGATCTTAAAGTCCTCGATAGTTCATAAGGGGAGATGCGTTCGGACAGGTAAGTTGGGCCAGAACCATTTAATAATAATAATAATAATAATAATAATAA